TTTTTGTTTTGTTTTTAAGAATAACAGAAGATACCTGACAAGTTAATGAGTAGAATGGAAATCCACTGGAAAGCGGAGGCTGAAGACACTAGAGAAGGGAGGTCTTCTCTGGAGCAGGGATCTCGGGGCAGGTGGGGCTGAGCAAGAGCAAGGGGAGGCTGGACTCAGGGCGGTGCTGGGACGTTCACCCTCTGAGACTGGAAGGGAGTGAGGAGGAATGTGCAGAGTGAAGCCTTGAGAGGTGGGTAGCAGGAAGTGGAGAAGGTTTACACCTGGCAGTCTCGATTTTCTTGCTGAAGAGGTGGAGTCCACCGAAAGTGAGTGAGTGAGGTTGAGCAGATGGGAAACAGCAGGCGCTTTGGAGGCAGGCAGCCATAGACTTGACCCTTGATCTGCTGCTCACCCCTGCTGGCTGCCACCTGCCACTTAGTGGCCTTGAACCTCAGGTTCTTCTTCTGCAAATGGAGATAATGTCCCTTCCTGCTGGGGATTCATAGAAACGGTGTGTAAAGTGCCCAGAATGCTAGGGGCTCTCCACAGGGCCGCTCTCCCAGTAAATAGAGAAGACCTGAAACATACTCTGAGAGGGAGGGTAGAAGAACCTGACAGGGAATAAATAAAAGCCTCACTGAGCATCCGCGAAAAGACTTACCCGCTAGCTGGGAAGGCAGGGTATGACACACGGACCGTCACCTACAGCGGATGCAGCTCCGGGTGCCGGGAAGAGGGCGGTGCCCTTGTTGTCAAGGAGAGGACAGGAGAGGACAGGAGGGCTGAGCAGCAGCGGAGGAGGGAGTCTTGACAACCAGGAAGATGGGTGTGGAGTTTATTTTGTCAAGGGGCGTGCAGGAGGGAAGGCTCTTCCCACGACAATACAACTTCCAATTGAGCAAGAACAACGACAGAAGTGAAGGCACCTAAGGAAGCTCAGGTGGGGAGTTGCACCTGTGTGTCTGCTTATGTCCTGTCTGCAGCCCTGTATCCCCAGCGGTGACTCCTTGGTGGCTGCCAGAGGCAGAGGAAACCATCGTGAAAGAACACATTCTGGGTATTGTTGAAGGGTCAACAGAGACCACCTGGAGAACCAAAAAAGAGACCAAAAACAGCCTGGTCCTGAGCAGGTCTAGGCCTCAGTTTCCTTGTCTGAACAACAGGGAGCTCCCTCTGCTCATGGTGATTTGGATGACCCCGATTATGACAAGACACAGATGGCACAGGGCGCCACTGCCTGTTGGACACCCCAACCCACACCGCAGCCCCGGCCTTCGCCCCAGACACCGCTCTGACCCCGCCTCCCCCAGCTGTCGGTAATGGACAAAGCCAGGTTTCCTGCCCCCTCCCCTCCCCTCCCTCAGAGTGCGCACTGGAGAAAGAGCAGGTGTTGACCATTGGTCTAATAAAAGCTTTACAGCCCCTTTCAAGTGACACGTTTCAAGTTTACTAGAGTCCTTCTGCAGACATGATCAAGCGGAGGGGTGATGTCCTGTGGGATGGTAGGGAAGAGCCACGGAGCACAGGCTGACCTGTAACGTGCCCCACCTCTGGCTCCTGTCCAGCGTAAAGGACAAGGCAGGAGCAGAGGAGGGACCTGTTTTTATAGCACTTAGATGGCTCTCCGAGGCATTATTATGTCATTTGTTCCTGTCAACGGCTCCGAAAGGTCAGCCGGGTCGAGCTGCGCGGCTGGCTCAGTGTGTGACGCAGCAGGGAAGAGCGGCGGTGTGTGGAAGACAGACGGACGGCTGGGCCCAGTCGCGGCCTCGCCCCTCACTAACTACTCCTCTTGGGCCGGCTCTCCGTGCCCCAGTTATCTGGACAAGGAGAGTGATGACAATAATAGCGAGTACCTCAAGGGGCTATTGTATTAAACATCAGTACATTCTAACAGCGATTCATGTCACCACGACGATTCTCCTCGCCCGAGGGCGCATCGTGGTGGTGCTGCTGGCTGGGTCCCAGTAAGACGGGAGGTACACTCTGGCCGTCTGCTCAGCCCACCCACTCCCCGCAATACTCCCCTTTTGTCCAGCAGCCCGGCTGGACTCGTGGATTGACCCAGGGGCAGCTGCATGGCCCAGACCGGCCAGTCAGATCCTGTTCTGGGAACGCGGTGGTGCTGGAAGTCCTTCTGGTCAGCCTGGGCGGCCCTTAAATCGAGGGCTTGGGAACCGCGAGGCAGAAATGGGTGCACAAAAGCAGAGAGGAAAATAAAGCCCAGGAAGACACACAAAGAGGTCATGATGTGGCAAGAGAGGCGGAGAGGCAGCGTTTGCTCGTCCGCACAGGATGGCGCCAACCAAATCCTGCCTTTCGGTGCCGGGTTGTCCCGCGTGGCACCTTGGGCAGGCGTGGCCTGCAGTTCCACGAGTTATCCTTGCAATCCTGACTCCGAGTTTCACTAGATTTAGGATTTAGAATACTTATTTATCTCCTTTAAGCCTCACTTTTTCATGTGTAACCTGAAAAAAATAAAAACAATCTTATTGGGCTGCCGTGAGGGTCGAGTGCAGCGGCGTGCTGGGAATGTGCTCAGCAACCAACTCGGGGGACAGCTTATTCCTGATCCCTGGTGTTCGGTAATTTCCGTGGTAAAAATGCTCCCACCGCAGCTGATTTGAAGATACAAGGTAACATCTTGGAAGGTGGAATTAGAAAGAGATGTGCACCCTCCTGTAGCGTTTCCACCGCACAGATACAATAGACATGATTTGAGTCCAGATAATAGTTACGGGTAGTAAAATAATTAGGAACTGATGAGTGTTGAGTTTTTATTATGTTTGTCTCTAATGTAGTGTGTGTAATTACGAGTTTACATGATTCCATTTTTAATAATTGCTGTGTTTAGTAACTGGCTTGCAAAATTCTTGGAAATTAAACAACGGGCCCTTAGAAAGGCCGTCTGAGCTGGTCCCACACCCTGCTGGTGAGCCGGAGCTCACACCAGCCTTACAGGGAGCCTGGCATATATAAAGTGCTCAGTAAATGGTAGTCTATGTGATTCCTGTCCCTTATTTCTGTTACACAATTTATGCTTGCAGCAGGAAAAATGAACACATTTCATAGCACCTTTTATGAATTTAGGGTCACTTTGTTTAATTGAGGAACATAGACTTGAGGTTTATGCAATGTGATTTGCTTACAAAATTCAAAACGGAGACCAGGGAAAGAACTGAAAAATTGGGGTGAAAAGTGTATGAAAGTTGGCATTCAGCCTGGCGTTGCAGAAGGTTGGGGGCAGCTCCCCACTGGGGGCTGCAGGAATCAGAGGAGGCGTGCCCGGTGGGGTCGGGAGGGGAGCGTTGCTGCGGTGGGGTCAGAAGCAAAAACTAGGGTTCTTTATGGTCCTGCAGACCACAGAAAGAGCGCACAAGAAATAAATAGGAACCGGGGTGAGGTCTGGAGGGCAGCAATATTCTGTTCACTGAGCACACACATGCACACATGTGTGCACACAGAGGGACATTCCTTATTTTACAAAAATACCCACCTGTCGCTATCTGGCATGCTCTAGGCAGGGAAAAGAGGAACATACACACATTGTGTAGTTGAAGAATTAATAAAAGGACTATTTACAAAGGTGTGGGCAGGGTTAGGAAAAGCAACCAATGACGAAGTGCCTGCAGCTAGAAACAGCCATGGATCTACCTGTGCCCTAGAGTGAGGCCAAATCAGTTGAGAGAGCTTCTTGGAGAGGGTGGCCTCTTAGGATCTGTGGGGCTGCAGCCAACCCCTGCCCCACCAGAGGACCTTACCCTGCCAGGGAGGGAGAAAGGGGATCCTTCTGGACTTTCTGGCAGTGCTTCCCATTGGTCAGATGCAATCAGAAGCCATAGGGCAAGCGTTTGCTGTTCACCCCACAGATGAGCCTCCAGGACCCAGAGCTGAGCCAAGAGAAATGGAGAGCGGATCTGGAGGTGCCAGTGGAGGCCATCCATTCCAGGACATAGATCAAACATGTTAGGATGGATGTTAATGGGGGCAGGGTGGGGACTTGAAGTGTAACAGAACGTACTAAAACAAGAAGCTGTTTGCCTGATGTTGGGAATAATCAAGTCTTGAATGGAGGAGTGTAATTAACTCAACTCTCAGCACCTGAGGTCTAACAGAGACAGCAAATAGTATAATATTTGCTGGAAAATCAGCAACCGCGCCAAAGAAGTCATGGGAAAAGCAACCACACCAAAGGAACCTTTAGAAAACACCCTTTTCCCTTTGTACTGTTAGTGTTGTGAACTCAGGGCGGGAGAGAGAATGGGCTTCTTGTGTGAAGCCATGGGCTGGTCCCAGGAAGGGGGTCAGGGCAAGTGCTGTGTGGGGAAAAACAAAAGCAGAAATGTGCGTGTGGGCCGTAGAATGGGTCCCAAGAGTATTTTTTAAAGTCTGTGTTTATCAAGAAGAAAAAGAAGACATATAATCAATTAGGAAAGGATGATATTTTTCTTAGAAAAAAAGAATATATATATACATGCAATGAAAACTATCTGGCAGGAAGTACACCGAAATGTGAATGGGGGTTGTCTTTGGGTGTGGGTTTTGGGTAGTTTTGATTTATTTTATTTGTTTTCCTATATTGTCTACGTTTAATAAAGTGAACCTGAATTACTGCGCAATGAGAAAGGAGCTCAGGAAGAAGCCTAACATTAACAGCTGAGGAGCACTTTGATGGACGGCTTCCGAAGTGTGTGTTTTTCCTCCCTGCTCACTCTCCCCTCCCTCCTCTGCCTCCAGGCTGGGCACGTGACTGACCTGCCCAGGAAATGGACTGATTCAGTCGTTTTGCAGCGGAAAGGCCCGGAGATGACCTGGGCCTGGCTGAAAACAAGAAGGTTATCAAAAGTGGTTCAACGTGACCACCCCTGGGGAACATTCTTTACCTTTTCTACCAAGAAGCCGAGTGAGGATCATAAAGTCATCTTTCTTGGAATTCGATACCTGGAACTTCTAGGACTGTTGCAAGAAATGACCACAAACTAGGAGGCTTACCTCAGTGAGAACCGACTGTCTCACAGTTTGAGTGGCAGGAAGTCAGGAATCGAGGTGCTGTCCGGGGCGGTTTATTCCAGAGGCCATAAGGGAGTCTCCTCAGTGCTTTTCCTCTTGCTCCTGGTGGTGGGGGGCAAGTCTGGGCACCTCTTGGCTTGTCACTGTGTCACTTCAATCCCCCTGCCTCTGTGTCACATGGCTTTCTTCCTGTGTGTCTGTGTGTCCTCAAGCCTCCCTCTCCCTTTAAGGACTCCAGTCATTGGATTTAGGGACCACCCTAGACCAGTATAACCTAACTCGACTCCGTTACATCTGCAAAGCCCGCATTTTTAAATAAGGTGACACTGACAGGTGCCTAGGATTAGGGCTTCGATATAACCTTTAGGGGGCACAGTTCAACCAAACCCATCATGGTACCATTTGCCAAAAATGTATAATTTGCCTTAATAGGCAAATTATGAAATCATTGTGATTGTTTTAAAGCTTCTTATTGGAGTATAACATAATATAGGGAACTATAAAAATTCTGTGTTCAGCTACAGGGATTGTCACAAAGTGACACACCCATGTGATCAGCACCCAGCCCAAAGAGCAGAACATGACCTTTCCAGAGTTGAGACCTGAAAGAACAGTAAGAATCCAGGTGTGTGGGACATGGTTTCAGGCAGGAGGAGGAGCCAGGCAAAGGCCCTGGGGCACTTTGGCTGGAGGGCAGCGGGGAAGCCAGGGTGAGTGTTGTAGATGAGGAAGTCAGTGAGGAAGGAATGAGTGAAATCATGAAAAACCTGGTAGGTCACTCTGAGAAGTTTGAATCTCATAAAAGCAATGGAAGCCAGTGGAGGGTTTTAAGCAGTAGACTGACATGATCTCATTGCTTCTTTTAAAAGGTCTGACTGCCCCATGAGTGAATAGGAAGCAAGACCAGAGATAAGAGCTAGGAGTCCGTTTCACTGGTCTCAGAGAGATAATGATGGTGGGACCAGGGTGGTAGCAGTAGAGATGGAGAAAAGGGAGTGGATTCAAGACTGTGCAAGCTGCACCCCCAGGACTTACTGGTAGATCGGATATAGTTTATGAGGCGAGAGGAGTCAAGCATGACCTGAGTCACTGGGTGAGCAATGGTGTCACTAACCATGAGAGGCAAGACCGGAGGAACCGGGCTGGGGGGAAAGTGGAGGGCTTGTTTTACGCATGCTAACTTTATAGTGAACTCTAACATGACTGTTACATTCACTGTTACATGACATTCAAGAGGAGATATCAGTGAGCTAACTGGATACCCGAGCTTTGAACTTGGGGGAGAGATCAGGGCTGAAGATAAGCACTTAGAACTATCAGCACGTGGTTAGCATTTGTAGCCATTGGACCACAAGGGAATGAAAGGAAAGAGTGGCCATGGCAGGAAAAGGGAGCTGACCCGAGTCCAGGGCGCTTCAACGTTTACAAACAGATCAACAGAAAAGCATAGAAGACTGAAAAGAAGCTTGGCTTTCTGTGAAGGAAAAACTCAGAGTTTGTTGTTACATAAGCCTAAAAAGAAAGCAAGGAGGAGTTGGCCGTGTCAATTGCTTTTGAGAACTTGAGTCCAATGACAATGAAGAATTGACCCTTGAATTTGGCAACCTGAGGTTGTTGGCATGTTGGTGAGAGCAGGGTTTTTTGAGAGGTTTGGGGTTGGGGTAGCAGCGATGTCTCAGGGGAGTGGAAGCCAGGTGAGAGTGTGTTGGAGAGAGACTGGGGGCAGGGAATGAGGGATTCATCGCACACGCGTGTATATTACAATGTATTTCACACTAGGCTTTCTATGGCTGCCCCCTCTCTTCCCTGGGCCACTCACTGTGTCTAAGTTATCTCTGTGTTCCCAGAGCTTGGTGCTGCATACCCGACACAAAGTAGATATTCACTAAATGATTGAAATAATGCTTTTAGATAAAATCCTGGGTCCAGCTTCCAGACCACCCAGGTGCTACATAAGTAGCCTTTGATCTCTTACTGTTTCATCCGTTAAGTGGGAAAATTACAAAATGGAGAGAACAAGGTCAGACTCCTGGGATTATCGTGAAGATGGAATTAAATACCGAATGTGAACCTGTGGTGCTTTAGAAACTGGCTCACACCAACCAAACGTGAGTTCAGGTTATTGTGAGCCGATGACAGAATCCACCAGACTCCAGCTCTCTGAGGCACCTGGCACATGGTCCCCCGAAATTTCACTTGAAAAATCAGTTCAAGTTGGCTTCCGTACAGACACTTCCTCATGAACTGAAAGTCAGCCAAAAGACACAGAATAAAGAGATGCAGTCGTTGTTAGCAAATCACACAACAGGGCGGTGTTTACCAGAGACGCTGGTTTTAGGATCAACCTTTTCGAAGGACGTCTTTATGCATCAGTTGGGAAGTCCTACCAGGCAGCATTTCAATAGTATTTCCAGGGGAGACGAAATGGAAGGGATTTGCCAACACCCAGGAGAAGCAAGAATTTACAAAGGAACTTAGAGGGCTGAAGTCTATTAAGTGGATTTCCCCTGTAGGCAAAGGGAATGGTGCCCGGTCACGGGGCTGCCCAGATGTGGTGTTTGGGGAAATGGTGGCCTCTCCCTTTGCACTCTCTGGGTGAGTCTCAGCTCCATGTTCATCAACACCATCACCAGAGCAGCGCCCATGTGTTGAATCCAGGTGTTGGGTTGGCCAAAACGTTTGTTTAGTTTTTCTCCCTAACATAAAAGAGATTTTCATTTTCACCAATAACGTTATTGATTTGGATATTTTGAGTATGTCGGCTATCTCCTACAAAGGAGGTAGAAGCCAGAGGTGCTGCTAAATATCTTTCAGTGCATAAGACAGCCCCACAGCAAAGAATCATTTGGCTAAAATGTCAGTGGTACCAAGAAATTTTACAAACCACTTTTGACACATTTGATTAGTCTCCATACACTGCACAAATCTTTTTTTGTGATTGAGTTGTGTTTTTACCTTTGTGTGTTTACCTTGAAATAATAAAGCACGATACTTTGCAAATGTTGCATATTTTCTTCCACATTCAGTATTACAATGACTGCACAAAATTTCAGCAATTTTGATATTCTTTTTTCGATGCATGCTGATGTGACAGCTGTCACAACACAATCTCACAAAATTGTTTCAAATGAAGTTAAAGACAACTAAGCACTACCAGACCCATTGTGCAGGAAAAAACGCGATGGAATTTTTGACCAACCCATTGCTCCTGGGCTTGATGCTCTATGGACATTATTGCCTTGTTTGCTCTTCACCACAGCTGCACGATGTTGGGTCAAAGGTCATTCCCTCTTTGCAAAACCAGAAAACAGAGTCTCAGAAGAGTTGTCTTGCCCACGTTCCCAAGCCAGTAAGGCAGAGTAAGGATTTCAGTTCAGGCCTTTGTGTTCCAAAGTCAGAGCTGGAAACTCCTTGTCCACCCCACCTCTCAGGGAGACATTGTTGGGTGCTTCAAGGTGGCAGGGGCACGTATGTGGAGGCAATCTTCGGTTACGGCAGCAGCTGCAAAAATGACTTGAGTCTGAGATTTGACTGACTCTGCTCAGGGGGGTGGTGATTCTGAGTCCTCTCACCACACATACACACATGCTCATGTGCACACACTCATTCACACATATTCACGCTCGCACAGTCTAACACATGTGCACGCACAAGCACGCATACACCTCATCATCTAAGATCTGAATGAAGAGCTGGCCTCACGTGACTCAGCCTCCTCTGGGCTACAGCTTGAGCTTGCACATCCTTTCCTCCCCACAAGCCCCCAATAGTCCTATTTCCCAAAGAAGTCTCCCAACTGAAGACTTTGTCATTACCCAGTTTGAGCATTTGATTGGGCGGGATATCCCTATCATGTGTACAGCCCTCTTGGGCCATCTGCTGAGAGAAAGTCTGTGGGGGAAGTTGGCACCCAGAGCTTTCGGGCTCTTTCCCCCACACAGAATAATGGAACCAACACATTCTGGGGAGCCAGACGGGTCTGGGTTCAAATGTTGCCTCTGTCACTCAGAACCACCTGGCTTTGGGCACTGATGAAAGGACTAAAATAACTGGGTATTTACTAGGTGCCAGACTCTGTTCTAGGCATTTTCAATTAATGTTCTTATGAAATTGCCAATTATTCAATAGATTTTATTATTATCTTCCATATTTTACAACTGAAGCAACCAAAGCATGAAAAGGTCAAGAGGCTTGCTAAGGTCCCATGGCTGGTGATGAAGTAGAGGAACCAGAATCTGGGCACAGGCTATGAGGATCTCAACCACAGCGCAACCCTGCCCCACTCACTATGTCTCTCTGAGCCCTGGTCCAGGCGTCCAGCAAGTGGAGGTACAGATACAGTCTCTGTAGGGGCGAGAGCAGGGCTGGACTCAGAACACCATCTGGGAGGATAACCGATTTTGCTTCATTCCCCTTTGTCACCCTTCATGGAAGTCATCTTTTAATATGCAAATCTGATGGAGCTGTGGGCCCAGCTCATCACATGTTTGTAGAAATCAGTGAGTCTTGAGGGTTGTGTTCTTCCTTCACCAAAAGATGAAGGAGAACATCAGGCTAAGAAGGCGTTTCCATTTCCTGTGACTGTCATAACAAAGTACCACAAGCTGGGCAACTTAAAACAACAGGAAACTATTCTCTCTGGAGAACAGTTCTGGAGGCCAGGAGACCAAAATCAAGGAGAGGAGTTGGCAGGGGTATACTCTCCTGGAAGCCTCTAAGGAAGAATCCTTCCTGCCTCCTCCAGGGAATTTGTTGCCATCCACCCTTGGCATTCCTGGGCTTTGGCACATAACTCCAATCTCTGCTTCTGTCTTCACGTGGCTGTCTTCCCACTGTGTGTCTGTGTTGAAATCTCCTCATTCTTATGAGAACACCAGTCATTGGATTAGAGTCCACTCCAATCCAGTTAAACTTCTCCTTAAGTACATCTGCAAAGATTCTATTTCCAAATAAGGTCACATGAGGTTCTGACATTTCGGGTGAATGGGAATTTTGTTTCTCTTGGAAATGCTATTAAAATTATGCCTGGTAGAATCTCCCAAATTTCAATCCAAGAAATTTGGAAGATTTCATCCAAGACGTGTAGAAGGAAAAGGTGACAGCAGAGCAAGGAAGCAGGTGATGGCAGGAGGGGATCATCCAGTTTCCCTGCCCCTGTGCCTGTTAACATTTCAGTTTTGTACTCACTTCACCCTTCTGAGTGTCCATCTTTCCATCCATAAAATGATAGGGTTGATCTTTAAGGCCACATCCACTTCTAATGTCTCCCATTTCCTAGGGGAGGAAGCAAGCAGGGTTGGGGGGCATGAAGGGCCACAGTCGTCTTGGAAGACAATGTTCCAAGAAAGTCCCTTAGTGACAGGTCTCCCATTCTCAATGAGTCTGCAATCAACAAGCAGCCCTTCCAGCTCCACGCCAGTACTTCCAGTGGCCACATCTGACTGGCATTGGGTGGGAACTCTAGTTCTTGGTCCAGATGAGACCATAGCTGATGGTCTCGTAGAAATAAGCCAGGAGAAGATCCTAAAGGAATAGTTAGAATCACGAAGAGATTGAGACTTACCCTGATGTGGAAGGACAAGAATGAGCAGCATAAGTGATCTTGGTTGAGAAGGGTATGAGGGTACAACTGGAAGATTCCAAACATACTAAATGCTCACACCTCCCCCCCCCCCCAAACAAGAGCTTTTAGATGTGCGATATGACGGGGTAGCCTGAGAAGGTCAGCTGTCTGGGAAAGTGGTAGGCACTGTACTAGGAGCTTATATTATCTCATTCAATCTTCAAAACAAATAATTACAAGGTAAGTGCTAGTTTCCTTACGTACGTGCATATGCATTAAATGTGAAATCTGTGAGGACCAAGCAAAACACATCGAGGGACTTCAATGTTGTGATTTTCAGCATTCACACGCACGCATGAATGCACCAAAGACTGGAAAGAAATAAGATAGTTGTTAGCATCATTTCAACCATTTTCATTTTATTTTCTTTACACCTCTTTTATTTTCTTGGTTCTCTCTGTGTATTTCTTCTCATATTCAGAAAGCTTTGACCTGTTCTCATAGTATTTCTATATAATTAGTAATTCTTCCACATTTAGTTGTGGAGACAGAGGTTCTAGAATGACCACTGAGGGTCGCACCACTAGCAAATAGCAGAGCCAGGGTTCAGACTCGGCCTGGTCTGACTCCCAGCCCTGGACAGCGTCAGGGGTGGGTGGGAAGGCTTGGTTTGGGCTCAGGCTCTGGCTTTGTTTCGGGCCCTGGGCCCCATCCTGCCCACCCCGAGGGCACTTGTGTTTGCAGGCCTCCTCGCCTCTGGTCTCTGGCTGGTGAGACTCATCTTCCCTCCCCACTCAGTGTGAGGACAGTCAGCTACTTGTCCCAGAGCCAAGGACAGGCCAGCAAGGGCTCAGACTCATTTTACTTCCTGAGCAGACAAGTGGCTTTGGACTGTGGAGACCAGTCATTCTAGGGGGATGAATTTAGCTGCCCTCCCTAGTCGGCAGTGGGAAGAAGGGCAGGGTCCTGTCAGCCCAAGGATGCAGGCCTACCTCCAAAAGGGCTTTTGTCTGAGGCTGGGCCCCAGTTCAGAGTAACATCTTTCTGTGGAGGCTGCCAGGCCATCGCTGAGTGGGGTACCTGTGGGGCAGGGAGGGAGACAGAGTGAGAGGCCCATCTTTCTTCTAGGAAAGGAGAAGCGCTGGTGGGTGGCTGCAGAATCTTCTGTGTGGGGGCCCTCGGGGGTCCTACGGCCAGCCAGGTGCTTCAGGCTTGAGAAGAGAAACCAAGGCCAGGACTCCCATCCTGAGATGTGGATGCTTAAGCTTTTGCTATCTATGTCTGATTAAAATCCCAGCAAGAGAAAAGACATCTTCTCCTTCTTTGATTGGTTTCTTCTGGAAATCTTGAGTTGCCAGACCCCACTAGTGGGAAGAGGGGTCCTATATGAGAAGGCTCCTGTGGGGACTCCCACTCAGTGCATCCCCACATGTAGTGGGTGCTGTGGGTGCCCTGCCCAATCTCCTTCGCAAGGTGGAGGCAGCCACCATTCCCCACGTGCTCCGAGTGTTGGCTGCTAATGCTCACAGCTGCCCTCTTTTGTGGAGAACAGCCCTCGGCCACCAGGAACCCTCTAACCTGGGAGGTTCCTCTGCCCCTCACCCCAGTCCCTTTGGGGCCAAGGTGACACCGTGTCTGTGGAGCAGTTCCTGCACCAGAGCCCCCCAGGGAGTCAGGCTGAAGCTAGACTTTTCTCCCAGCTTAGGTTCTCTCTTGGGTCCTCCAACAGTCAAACCAACTGGCTCTCTGGGGCTGTCATGCTGGCTCCACTGGCTTCAAATATTGATGCTTCTGCATTATGTCACCCCCTTGATGGCGTCCCTGACGTGAGAACTGCCTCAAATGGAAGCTCAGCATGCTGGTCAGGCTTGGAAGAGCACGGGTGTGTAAGAGTTGGCTCAAACAGGGACTTAGGAAGCAAATTTCCATGTTCTGTCACTATCTGTCATCCTGTGATGACTCACAAAGGCCATTTCTTTCCCTTCGCCATCTTCTCTGCATGCACACAGCACATGAAGAAAAACCAGATGGTGACTTGGTCAGTGAACAGCATTTACCAGTCCCCGGGTTCCCCAGGTGCGTGAGGGATGTGGAATCATGGATGTGCCACGCAGTGTTTTGAACCTGGATAGTCTGTGACAGTTGTAGAGCCCATTACCCCCCTTGTCATTAACCGTTCACGTCACCTTTTTTTTTTTTTTGTCATTCATTTATTCATTCAACAGTTACTCATTTGGGGCCAATCCAGAGCTAAGCACAATGCACGTATGATCTCGTGTTCTTCCAGTGACAATAACAGGGGTGCTGCCACTGTCTCCATGGTCACATTTGAGTGATTAGGTGTGTAGATCATCTGACTCTCTCGCCTGTTGCTGTACAACCAGAGTCTGCATTCAGAACCACGTGCCCAACTCACAAAACAGTGTTTTTCACCGCAGTGCCATCCTGCTCTTGTCACCCCACAAAAGATGCTCCCGAACACCCCACAATGCACAGGATGGGGCATAAGAAGAAGAGCGTGAACCCCGGAGTTGGGAGATTGGGGTTGCCACCAGCCCTGAGGATAACCAGCCTTCTCGGTTGGCTTCAGGTCTGGTGCTTTCCCTGGTGCCCATCTGTGCTTCAGGCCCCCTATTCAAGGTTCGTCTTCTCCCTGCGGCATGAGTTGCAGGCTAAACTCCACTTAAGTAATCAGATTCTTCCATTTGACCCTAGAATCCTCTTCCTCCTTCTGTGGGCAGTCCCTTTGGTGCGGCCCAGGTCCCTTCTCTGGCTCTGGCCCTACACACAGAGATTTTGAAAAATGGGAAATTATTTCAAAGTCCTGAGGTCTTATTGGTGCCCTGACATTAAACCGTATCTTCTTGGTTTAGGTGTGTGGCTCAGACCCGTCTGGGACTGGCCTGGCCCGCACTTCCCTCACATCCTTGTGGATAAAACGAAAATGTTTCAGGTCATTTCTACCTAGAATCAAACCCTGAGTCAAGGATTTGAGAGTAACTGATTCATCAGGAAAGAACTCTCAGGAGAAGCAAGTGAGGGAAGGAAGGAAGCAGGGTGAAGGGGAAGAAGGTAGGTAGGTAAGGGAGTGACTTCAGCCAAAGTCCCAGCCTTACCCTGATCGCATGGGGAATTTGAAGCATAAATTATACCTCATTTTGTCCCAGCTCAACTCAAAGAGACTAGACTCCCACAGGTCTCCACTACCTGAAGGCAGTGCTGTGAGGTGTGCCCAGTTAGCCAACAGATGTGAGGACAGGCGCCCAGAGATTCGGGAGTTCTGAAGGCAGCACCAACAGTGCTCATCACATCTCAATTCTGTTAATTGGCTCTTCATTCCAAGAAGTGTTTTCTAATCTCTTTATTCCAAGAAGTTTTCAAAAAATAGGAAAGGAGAGAATTAGTACACTAACGTCTCTTTGGTCAAATTCAAATTGTTGACCTTTTGTCTCCTATCTGAATTTCAGATTCTGATGAGCCCAGATGGCTTCCTCTTGTATTTCCATATGAGCCTAAACAAAACCCAGTTGCATTGATTCGCAGCAAAAGGAAAACCACACAAAAACACAGCATGCTTCTCCAAGCCAAATAGAAATGATTTTTGCATAGTGTTTTTTTTTCCCTTGGATATGGACACATCTGCTTCTCCCTAAACCTTGGTAATCAAGTGTTGATTAAATGGCAGTCCCATCAGTGTGTCTTTGTTGAATATCCTGAAAGGTACCCTGCATTTCCTCCCCCAAATGATAGCTTCTCTCCACTGCTGTAAACTGCTGACGTAGGATGCAACGGTGTTTGGACAATAGCGAAGACACAGCAGTTTCAGCACAGACCACGTTTAGGTCAAAAAAAATTTTAAGGCCATAGAAATAGCCCACCAGAATTGAACTTTCAGAGGTGGGAGTATAATCTATAATTTGTTCATCAAACATAAACAAAATAACCCCCAAAGTGCCTAATTTTATGTTAGTGGTTTTCCACCAGGGGCAAATCTGTCTCCCAGGGGACATTTAGAGGCATTTTCGCTGTCATAAGGGTTAAGAGGGTGGGAGGGGGTGTGTGCCGCTGGCATCTAGTGGACAGAGGTCAGGGATGCTGCTCAACATCCCATAATATTAGAACAGCCCCCACGACAAAGAATCGCCGGGTTGCAAATGTCACCGGCTGAGGTCGAGAAACCCTGATTCAGAGTGTTTGTTTTGTGTGGATTCTGCATTGATTCTGTATATGTAGGACTATTATCATTGGTTTTGAACTTTCAAAATCCCTGGGTTTAAATGTTTTTGAGCACCAGCGAAGGCTAGGATGCTCTTCCAGGAGCCCCACAGTCAACTTCCTGGGATTGCTGAATGGGTGAAAGAATGACTGGCTGAGCGATGTAGAATTCCCTCCAGTTTCCTGAGTCCCAGTATCAGGGCAAGTGACCAGTGCAGTCACACAGGGCCCCGCCCCCCCAGCTCAGCAGGAGGTCCCATGCTTGGGGCTTAATACTCTGTGGCACTTTGATGGTACAGCGTGAAGGGAAATGTTGCATGGCCCAGGGCTTGGAGCCTCCTGTTACCTCCCACCTGCTTGGCAGGGGTTCTCGGAAGCCTGCTCCTCTGCCCCAACTCAGCAACTGCAGCTGCCCTTTGACCCTGGAAGGGGCTGAGAGAGGGTGTGGGATGGGGTGGGGGTGTGTGTGCTCCATACACCTATGAGGGTCTGCCGTGCTCAGAAATATCCCTGAGCCAGAGGAACTGAACGTCTGTCTCCCTATAACTCTTATGTTGAAGCCCCAATTCCTCAGTGTGATGGTGTTTGGAGGAGAGGCCTTGGGGAGCTGATTAGATTTAGATGAGGTCGTGAGGGTGGGGCCTAAGTGATAGGATTATTGTCCTTTTAAGTTGAGGGAAAGAAAGCAGTGTTCACACACAGCCAGAAGGTGCCAGCAAGCCTGAAAGCCAAGGGGAGGGTTCTCACTAGGAACCGAATCAGCGGACACCTTGATCTTGGGTTTCCCAGCTTCCAACACTGTGAGAAAGTAGCTGTTTGGTGTTTAAGTCACCCATCCTCCAGAATTTTGTGATAGTGCCTGATCTCAGACACCACGACAGAGGACAGGTGGGGAGGTAAAAGCTTTTTTCCTGCTTTCTGAATAAGAGGCTGCACTTTTTCATTTTGCTCTGAGTCCCACAGATTCTACAGCTGGCCCTGCCTAGAACAGTCACTGCTCACCACTTCTCCTTCTTCTTAAGCAAAACCTTCCTGGTGGAGTTTGAGGCTTCCCTTTCGTTCTGGAGACATGAGGTCTTCCACAGCTGTGGACAACTGGCCTGTTCAGGTGGAAGCCTCAGGCCAGACCACTGGTACAGTGAACATACTGTTAAACTACTTAAAACCAAAACTGTTAAAGAGAAATGAAAAGGTTCTAGCAAAAGCAATAGTCTGGATTTTCTTAAACATAATTGTAAGTGGACGATGTGCTTCGAGTCTGTTGGGCTTCTGACTCTGCTTCTTCTGCTGCCTTGGGCATCTCTGGACCAGGCCTTAGGGGTCTTGGAGAGAACTTCCTTGCACATACTTGGTGGAATGTCTGAGGATAAACAGCAGGGACCTCACAGAGATTCCAGAACAGCTGTATTTGTACCTGTCTACTGACTGGTAGAAGTGGCAGAAGGCTGTCTCTATTTACTTCCTTTACAACATTCCTCCTGGTGGTGAGGTTGTGGGGAGAAAGACATAGGGTGCCCTCCCTCCTGCAGTCACTGGGAGCTACCGACGCTCACCAAAAGCTCCCCATAGTGGTTGAATGCTACCTTGGCATTGCGCAAGTCTCACTGATGGGCAATGGTGCTATTCTGTTTTATACACTAAGTTCCTGAGGGGTAGTAAGAGAGCATGTATTCCTGGTCATGTGACCAGTGAATAATATAGTGAAAAACATGGATTCTCGCCTCTGGGTTCCTCCAGTCCTATTAGTGTTCCCTTGGCCTCCAGAGCTTCTGTATGTGCCACCTGTTAGGGACTAAGAGGACCAGAGGGCCGCCCAGCCAAAGGACAAGTAGGTACTGAATCC